ATATATAGATAGATAGAGTAAGGAGGCTGCCATTGCTGACCAATCCATCTGAAAATACTTGATGAAATATTGACACCAGAAATGGCCAGGGGGCGGCCATTTTCAGGGGTGGTCATTCACCAGTCTCAAAAACCAAAGATAACTCTCAAACAGAAATTGCTATTTCTTAACACCATGTGACTTCTCTGGTGAACTAGATCTAAAAAAGGTGCCCATACACTGTACCATTATTGTACGAGAATTGCGGGAAGTCCCGCGATCGTACGATAATCGCAAAGTGTATGGAAGGAGTGCAACCGTTTCTACTGTACGATCGCACGTCTTACGTCGAACAAGCAGGCTGGAAAACCCGCTGAGAATCGTACGATTCTCGGGGGGTTAGTGGCCTGCTTGTTCGACAACTGCCGAACGGGCCGGTGTGCGCACGCGCACACTGCCCGTTCAGCATTGCAGTCATCGGAAGCCCGACCCTCAGGGGGGCAGGCTTGCGATGATCGCAAGTACGATCTGCCTGTCCAAGATGGGCAGATCGTACGTTTTTTTAAATTACTTTACAACCCTCGCAAGACAAAAGTCTTGCGAGGGTTGTACAGTGTATGGCCACCTTAAAGATGTGTATAATATAAAGTGTATCAAGTGATGGAAATCACGGCCAATATCCTGAAGAAAAGCGCTTTGGCTGGATTTTCCCAAGATAAGAAACAGATGAAAGCAAAGATAAACAGAGCCATGGCACCAATTCTGTGACATTTAATAAACAGTCTCTGAGTCTTTCTCAAGCTTTTCAACACAGAGGAACCCTTGAAATCATTTCCATGTTTCAAGTAACCCTTGCTTGATTATTACATCTACAGCTCAAAGTATATTAGCAGGATTCAGAAGTTGTAAAAGAATAAGCTTGCATTCACACCTGGGCGCCAGCATTTTTGGGGGTTTTTTTTGCAATCGATAATGCAGTCTATGGGGGCCAAACGCACTGTAATCTGCCAAAAAGAAGCTCATGTACTTTTTCCAGCGTTTGCCATTTTACAGCTTGGGGACAAAACACTCAAGTGTAAGCAAGCACCATTGAAATGAATGGGATTACTTGTGTTGCGCATTTTGTCGCTTTGAGCATCAAAACGCCGAAGTGTGAATCGCGCGACTTAAGAATGTGGTGTACCTAGCATAACTGCCAGAGAAGAAACGCACACAGTATACATAGCAGTGCTGCTATACATGGGTGTTTAGTGGATTCATGTTCCCTTAGGGCCCGTTCAAACCAGTTGCAGTGCGTTCCGGCCTGATTCTGGCAAGAACGCACTGCCCCGCATAGCGGCCGGCTCACTTTTTTGTGGGGCAGGAGGGGGCGTGGCAGGCCATTGAAGTGAATGGCACCGTAGCCACGCCCTCCGGCCGCAATGTGATCGGCCGCACGGGATCGCAAGGCACATTATGCTTGCGGTCCGGTCCGATAAAAATAGTGCTTGCAGCATTTTGATCTGACCGGCCGCAGGCAGGCATTCACTTCAATGGCCCACCACGCCCCCTCCTGCCCATTTCCATTGTTATTCAGTGGAAAGGCTGCACCCCTTAGCTGAATAGATCATTGGTATTAATGGTTACTGAAAGGCAGATATTGTTCACTCCTCAAGGAACCCCGAACAGCCTCCATGTGATTTCCAAGGATCCATGGAACCCTAGCCGAGAAAGGCTGCTTTGGTGAGATTGTTGCATGAGCAGTTATAGCATAACAAGTACCCTCGTTCATAGACACAAACCCATTGAAATATTTCATTACAAAAATCAACAATGGAGGATACAAACATAGTGAGTGAATATTTGATTGGCTGCTATTAGATACTCAACCGACAATCACTGCACATTATACTGTTTACTGCACGTGTAACCCATCAACATACTCAAAAGGTATTCCCAAAGAGCTAAAGTGTGTAATGAAGGAAGGAACAAAGAGATTCATTGAGATCCTTCAGAGCTTGTTCACATCACTAGACCAGATCGGGAAACGCAGGTATGTGCGCTATTCGTGTGTTTTTGATGCATTCTGGTATGGGTTTTTTTAGTCTCAATTGAATTTCTAGTGTATTCCAATTTGTATGTGTTTACACAAGTTTTGGTGCATTCCACACCAGAAATATAAAAAGTGCATGCAGTACTTTTGTTTTTAATAAAACATTTCAGAACTGAATGCAGTGGTGTGAACTAGCCTCACTTGTTACAATAGGAATTCATTTTTGGACCAGACAAAAACCGTTCTGGATCTGGTCCTACGCATGGTGTGAATGGAACCTTAAAGTATACGTAAACCCTAACTGGACGACCTTTATTTTACAAAAGCAGTGTGTGTAAAAAAACAACTGCTATTTGGTCTTTTTGAATAAACTATTTGCTTTCGACCTTTTTCCCACCTATCTTGCACTCAGCACTGCTGATCTCCTGTGGTCTTTTTATAGCCACATCCTGTCTATGTGTACATCAATGATTGCTGCATGGCATTTGTCAGGGTGCATTTCCTGATGGTTACAACAGTGAAACACGCTTGCCTAATACCAGGAATTCAGAAAGATTGTCACAGACACTAATTAGAAACCAGTCAGTGTAAAATATGGCGCAACTTTTAAAAGATTCATGGAACGGTAAGGTGTGTAGGAATCTGTGACACAACACTTACAGCAGCAACTGTGTCAATTGAGTCCAACATGTAAGGGGTCTCATTGACTTCCACTTTTCTTACCACCAATATGGCAGGATTTCTTAACCACTTGCCATGCGCCCATTGTAAATACACGGGCAGATGGCAACCTCTTCCCAGCGGGTGGACGTACATATATATGATTTTTCTTCTCTGTGGGCGCGCGCAAGCAGAATCCTGCTGGGATTCTTACCGGCTGTTACATACAAGCGTTCGGGCAGCTCTACAGCCAGCTGATCGCTTGTATGAAACTAAGAAACGTGCACCCCCCTTCCCCTCTGCTACCGCAATCCACCCCCCTCCAACGCCGCTGCTGGTTATCCCGGGCTCCGCTGTCCCCCCTGCAGGCCCGGGACCAGCACAGCAGCTGTCTAAGGAGAACCGAGGAGAGATCAGCATTTCCCCCACCGCTGATCTCTCCTCCTCTCTCTCTAAAAAGGTGGAAGCGATGTGTATTACATCACTTCTGCCTTTAGCTGTCATTTCTCTGGCTGCTTTAGCCAGAGAAGAAGCTGGTGAAGCAAATCTCTGCTTCATCAGCTTCTTAGGGGGTCACAAGGTGACATTAGCGGTCTTAGAGCCCCCCGATGTCTCTATAAAGAGGACCTGCCGTATATTTGCTATCACATAGGGGGCTTGTTATCCCCGTATGTGATAGCAATCAAGTTTACAAAAAAAAAAAGTCCCCTGCGTGCACGCACATATAAACGTAAATACATTGCGCCTACATGCGAGAACAACGATTACATCACACGTTATATAGCGCCCCGAACGTCGCAGTGTGAGCAATAATTCTAGGGCAATTTATCACTGATAACACTAAACTGATGAGCGGTAAAAGCTTTTAAAACGTCGCCTATGGCAAATTTTGGGTATTGTAGATTTTTCGGATTCCGCGGGCGCACGCAATTTTAAAGCTTGACATGTTTGGTGTCTATTTACCCGACATGACCCCGTCTTTTATATTTTACCAAAAAATTGGATAATAATAATAATAATAATAATAATAAATGTTTTAGAACATAATATAGGGAAAACAGTTTTTTTGTTTTTCAACATTTTTTGAATTTTTTTTTTCCTTAATATAGTAAAAAATAAAACCCCAGTGGTGATGAAATACCACCAAAATAAAGCTCTATCTGTCCCCAAAAAAATGGTATAAAATGAATTTGAGTACAGCGTTGCATGACTGAATAAATGTCAGTCAAAGTACCGCAGCGCTGAATACGGAAAAATGGCCTGGATGGGAAGGGGGTTTAACACCCCGGTCAGCAAGTGGTTAATGAATGCGTCGCAGCAACAGAAGCTGAATGTAAAAGTGTTGCACATAAGAACTCGTTGAATTTGTCACCCCGGTCAGCAATAGCAAGAAAACTGTTGGACGGCTTTCATGAATTTGGTGCAGGGCTTTCTAATATGCCCATAATGCCAGAAACACATTGCAAATACTTTATTGAATCTCCCACAAAGTGTGTTGAACTGTCCATTTTTCTCTCCCGTTGGTGCTCCTTTGACAGAGTGACAACACAGGAGCACAAATGGGAGACAGTTGTCACCCAATGACATGAAGTGCCTGAACAAAGACCTTCAAATACTTTCTCAACGAAAGCTGCAGATTTAAAGTCTATCTCTAGGGGCAAAGAACTCCACGGGCAGTGGGGCTACCCCCGCAATCCAAGAATTAACTGCTAGTTTATGTCTAATGTGTAAAAGGACTTTTACTTACCTGATCCCCATCCCCCCGCCAGTCAGCGCTCACCTATATTCTAGCTTGTGAACTGTCACTTGGCATCCTCATATAAAAAGCATGGCTATAGGCACTGCATTGTACATGATGACATCAGCTGACCTCTGGAGTGTAAGGGGAAGCAGTTAACCCTTTCAGTGCATGGGCAGTTTTTTAGTTTCCCTGGAGATAGGCTTTAAACATATAGAAAAGAACTTTCAAATGATATGAACATGTCATTAGTAATTGGGTTTACATATCCTTTAAAACCCGTACGATCTCTTTTATTCTATACTAAGTAAATGAGTTACACACAAGCAGGTGATGTGATTAAAGGACATAACAAGTAAGGGCTGCCTTCAACATAGCTGGTGATCAGCGGATGTCACCTTATATAGAGCAGTTACCCTTCAATGATCTCACTCCAATCCAGCACAGACACAATTCATAGCAACCACACCTGGAGGTGCAGGAAGTAAAGCATGCTGTTCACCGGAACGATGGGAGGAATGAGAGCCCCCACAGCAGGCACGTCACATGCCTCTACCATTTACAATGGACCGGACTCTGTGGAAGACTCACCGAATACACCGGCACAGTGCGCTCACGCCTGACAATACTGTGTCCGCAGTCACCGGTGTTGTTCAGTTCCTCATTGTGATCCACCCACCGCTTCCTGTTCCTGCTATGCACAGCACGCACCGCCCCACACTGACAGCACTATGTCAACACTCATTACATACACACGGGGAGGCCGCTTCCTCTTCCGGCCAGCCCAGCCAATGGCAGCTCTGGCTCCGCCTTCCCTCAGCAGAGCCAGCTTCCTCCAGGAACATAGCGCGTTCACCGGCTCACTATAGCAACACACTGAACTGTGTGCCTTAGAATGTGCACACACAAACCCGAACAATAAACTTCTCTTATTTGCTCCATTTTGCTCTGCTCAATAAACAATTGGAAGCCCTTTGTTATATTCTGCACAAAAATGCCTGTTGCTCCTGCCTGGAATCCAGACAGCTCCTAAGGGCTAGTTTACACCACCCACAGTGCGTTCGGGTCCGATTCTGGACGGAACGCACTGGATCGTATTGCGGCCGTCTCTCTTTGTTTTGGGGCGTGGCGGTGCATTGAGGTAAATGGCACCGCAGCCATGCCTTCCGGTGTTCTAGCAAAGTTTGTGACTACATTAGAATGTAGTCACAAACTTTACAAAACTGTAGTCCCGTGAGCTGTCACGTGGTCACACATTTTAACGTAATCCCGGACAGCTTTTCGGTGGTGGGATGTGTGACCGGCATTAGGTCAAGAATTGCAATGCTTTCTCAGCTGTTCCAGGGCATCGCAAATCGAATGTGCAGGAGAACAGATCTGGCCTGGAATAGCTGATCAGTCCTGAAATGTCACTTCTATTCGACTTTGTGGAATGTGATATTGCTGTCACAAAGTCTGATAGAAGTGACATTTCAGGAACGATCAGCTATTCCAGGGCAGGTCAGTTCAGCTGCACATGCGATCTGCGATGCCGATCCGCCCTGGAACAGCTGACAAAGAGTTGGAATGCTTGATCTATTGCCTGTCACACATTCCACCGCCTCAAAACTGGGCGGGATTTCGTTAAAATGTCTGATAGAAGTGACATTTCAGGAACAATCAGCTATTCCAGGGCAGGCCAGTTCAGCTGCACATGCGATCTGCGATGCCGATCCGCCCTGGAACAGCTGACAAAGCGTTGGAATGCTTGACCTATTGCCGGTCACACATTCCACCACTGTAAAACTGGGGGGGATTATGCTAAAATGTCAAAAGTAGCCACCCTCCAGAAGGAAGGACAGTGTCAGCACCAATTCAGAGATGATTTGAGGATCTACAGCTGAGTGATACACAAATAAGGTCCAGTATTGTTAATAATTAAGGTGCTTGAATGCATTTTTAAGATTTAACTCCTGAATTTAGTGTCACTTTAACCTTATTGTAACACCTCTCCCCATCCCCTTTAGTTGTCTGTGGACCAAAAGGTGGCAACCCTAGGTGGCAGGGTTATAAAACATTTCTGTGTGTATGGCCAACATTAGGCTACAGTATATTGGAATCACACAAAAGATGGAAGAACTTACAATCTCTTATGAATGCCATTTAAATGACATTTGCCAGGCAATCACTTGTGCTTTCAATCAGCTGTCTTTGAAAATTACTGGATAACAGGATGACTTTTTCTGGAAGTCTGGACAGAGACTGGTGTGAAATTATAGACATCTATGCACCTACTGTATACCTGCACCTTACAAAGATTCTTACATGAAAATGCTGTACTGGTGCTTCAGCTTTTCTAATTACCTTAATCAGTTGTCATAGTAAAGGCAAATTGTTGTCAAGGCTTAAATTCATTTTCAGAGAAATTTGAACTTTTTTGCAACTATAGAAAACCATAGCTGACTACAAATGAAAATGTAATTATTTAATAACATTAAATTGTAATATGGCATCTGCAACAATTAGATATTTTATATCTTTTTTTAATGGAAATGGAGAGTGCCTTTAATTACGAGTCACCAGATGCAGACATCTTCCTCCATTCATCCTGATGTCTGAGTGTTCATTTCTATCTAAAACTAACTGGAACTAGAATACTGAAACTTGCACGTATCAACTATGGATCCAAAGAGAACCATGAATGGAAGCCTACAGGAGGGAACCGTGTACTAAGAGAAATATAAGAACCTCCTTTCTAAAAATGGCAGTTGTTTGGCTGTCATGCTGACCCAATGGTTTCAATACTGATTCATGTCAAGTATGTAGATCAGAAGTTCTGACTTGGCTGGCTGCATGCTTGTGATGGCTCAGTGACTGAGAAAGTACTAGAGTGAGAGACAGCAAGGGAGCTAACGTTTCCAGAAGGAGGTCAGCAACGGTAGCCTATGTATTTCTCTCAGTATAGGTTCCGTACAGCGCGTTCTCCTCTCCTCTAATTACCTAAGGACCATATTATTAAAATAATGTCTTGTTGGCTCCTCTTGTATAGTCATTAGACCAAGTCCTATTAGCAGTTGAGGATTTCAAGAGTGTCATTAAGCTTTACTGATGTCCATAAGTATTTATCTTTCCATGGTTTCTGGGTTTATAAACCATGCACTTGCATTCTTCAACCATCATAACAACTTTTAGCACATTGCTGGATCCTGGGCAGTTCAGCCTAAGGTGGTTCATCCTGAATTTGAATGGTCGACAATGAGAGCATATGTTAAGTTCTTCTCTCTGGTTGGGTACATGTAGAGAGTTGCATTTTCCAAAGCACAGATTATTCTGTATCACCACCTCATCACAATTATCATGCGTTATATTCTGTGGAAAAAAAAGATATATGTAAATATGAGGCTGAAAGTTCCATATTTGTTAAATTTGCTCTTAATGTGCAGGATTGGGAAATAACTTTTGTATTTATTTTAAAATAAACTCATAGCAATGCAAAATACTTGTATGAGAAACCAGAGATGGAATCGGCCATTGCCTAATCCCTAGCGTGCATTCTTTTCTGGTGCAGTGCCATCACGTGCAGTGCAGCTGAATAAGTTCAGCTTCCCTGTGACAGAACTTTTTGTAAAACTTTCTGCAGCTTGATACTCAGAAAAAGTTTTAAGGTAATTTTCTCTAGCATAAAACATTGTACGTTGCAAATCTAACCAAAGTACTATAATCTTTTTTTATAGCCACTCAAAAATTAATTCCATTCAATTTGGTCCACAGTTTAATTTTAATTTGACATGCCTGATATATATATCTATATAGATATAGATTTATATCTATATAGATATATATTTATATAGATATATGTATCTATATATATATATACAGTATATTAGGGATGCACCGATACCGTCTTTTTCGGTATTGAGTACGAGTACCGATTTCTTTTTCAGTACTCGTCGATACAGAGTACTGGTTCTGTGTGTCCCGATTATCAGGAAGTTGGGCGGCGGATCATGACCCTTTGCCGGGCTTCCTGATTGCCTGTTACCCTTGTGTTCTAGCTAAAGAACACCAGCTTCACTTGCCCAGGCTGCCTGGCTTCCTAACCAATCAATAAGCTGGCCGCGAGTCATGAGGTGACGTCCGTCTTCCTGATTGGTGAGAAAGACAGGCTGCCTAGCAGCAAGTGAAGCCGGCTTCCTAGCAACCAGGAAGCCAGGTGGCAGGCCATGACTCACCTTCCGGCTTCCTAAATGGCTAGAAAGCCGCCTTCATTTGTTTCTAGACAGCCTGGCTTTCTATATATGTAACTACAGTCCAAAGGGAATTCAAACCACACGGGGTACTAGTCCTTCCACACTGCATCCAAAACTCAATCAAAAATGTTTTACTAGAAACAGATAGAGAGAGAGTGATAGATAGATAGATAGATAGATAGATAGATAGATAGATAGATAGATAGATAGATAGATAGATAGATAGGATAGATGGGATAGATAGATAGATAGATAGATAGATAGATAGATGGGATAGTCTATCTTATGAGTATACAAAGTGATTCATCATGCCTTCTCACTTTTATGGTCTAATTTTAGATTTGTCATTACATGTTTCTAAGGCTATTGTTGTAATGTCAATCTTGATGCTATTCAATAACAAAATATAGATGGAAGATCAAAATGTAAAGGTAAGGTCAAAAGAAATCAATAAACATTTACTCACCTGAGAAAATGGAAGAGTCTTGCAGACTTGCCGCTGTATTTCCAGTGTTTTAACAGGGTGATGGAAATCCTCTGGGGCTGCATTCAATTTATATATAAAATAATTCCAGAATGTTTTGGCACTCTGCTCCTCAGGCATATTTGCCTTTTTTTCACTGAATCGCTGAGAAGTAAAGGACTTCTTTTTGTTTCCTCTTAGGGTGAATGTTTCAGGTTCTCCCTGGCTATGCTGTTTTCCTTCATGGATTTCTCTTGGTAAAGGACTATATTTGGCCACTCTGTTTTCTTCTGGATTCTTTTCGCTTGCTTCTAACTGGACCTGTTCCTTATTCACAAAAAAATCCTGACTTACAAAAATCTGACGACCTTCAAGACCCTTTCTGGAGTGATGATGAGTAGGGACAGAGTGATTGTTAGCTCTTCCATTGGTCTTCTGTTCTTTTCCTACAGCATTAGCTGCATTGTAGAATATAATAGCGAGCCAGCAAATTTGGAACCACATGTTGGAATCCAAGTTCTGCTAATATCACACTATTCGAGAGGGACAGTCAAGTTTTAAAGTGCTATAACACATGATCTAGTTATCACACCACCTGTTATTTTAGTGATAAAATGTCAGGCTTTTGATATATTTATGTTAACTCAATCCTTGTTATGTTAATGGAATGTGTGAAAATGATCTAGATATTTGTCTTCTTGTCTGTCTTTTAATGACTAATGTGTTACTATTTACAGACAAGTCTGGGACATGTTGATGTGTATTTGAGTTTAGAGGATTCGTTAATATCTTAATTAGGGCTTCTTAAGAAATTACTTTGGTGTATTCCTCCATATAATGTAAGGGATCACACATTTTTCAGCTGCTAAAACTGTAGATTTATGACGATGACCAGGGCCATATAGGCGTAAATGTTAGGATCAGGTGAATGACTTAAAGATTATTGTACTTTCTAATGAACCTACTTTTATATATTCTCTATTGGCCTTCTCATCAATGGCCAAACAGAATAATACATATCAGATGCAGAATCCTGGCTACTAAGGTTGCTGTGACCTTACCCCTGGCAGGTGGTGTTCACAGCCTACAAAGTACCAGCGCCGTAGTGAATAGGCCCCTGACACAATGGAAACAATAAATGCTTCCAAGCCTGTTGTAAGCAACTTAGTTTTATTTTTGTTCACTATCACCCCGTCTAGTCCACAGGTATCTGATTTCTATGGCTACCTTTCAGGATTACTGTAAACGTAACTGTGATGTAAAGCTGAAGCTTTAACATCATTTAATATAGGAACCTAAATTGATACATTTTAGATTTTGGTCTTTAATCAACAAACTATGCAACCTGTAATTAGGCATGTGTATTCTTAATTTAGAAACACATAGAGGGGAATTTATCAAAACTGGAGCAGACAAAATTTGGAGCAGTCCAATCAGCTTCTGTGTTTCATTTTCGAAGCCTAAAGTATAACTAAAGCCTTTCGTTTTTTGGCCTATATCTACTGCAAGCAGTAGATATTTGCCCCAGTGCTGGAGAGACTGTCAGAAATTAGTGGAAGGAAAAGGATGGTCGGATCAAGAGGCATCAATTAAGGTAAGTGCTTACAGCAGCATTGGGGGTGGGTGGGGGAGCTTTAATGTCACTTTAACTGAACAGACTGAAGATAGAAACTGATTGGTTATTATGGGAACCTGCTCCACATGCTGTCTGCTCCAGTTTTGATAAATTCCTCCCATAGAGATTTGTAGAAGAATGGTGAATCAGGTAAACGGTTCCAACTGGGGAACCAGCGTATAATATGATAGGCTTAATTAAGTAAGCTTTAACACAAAGATAATGAACCTTATTTTTAACCACAAGAATGTAATTTGCATATCTCAGCTCAAAATAAATGTCAGTTTTTGAAAATAATCCTTATACTGTTTTTTTAGCTCTGCTTTGTAGTTTTTTTAACAGTATTTTACCTGCTACAATCAATTTCGGCATACACACATCCCAATGTTCATGCAAAGGTATCAGGGGGTTCATACAGGACAAAAATATCTACACCTATATAGGCACACTTACTTACATCTAGTAAGCAGAGCAAGGTATAGGACATTTAATCACAAAGCTGAAATTCTGTTGACAATATTAATGTGCATATCTGCGCAGAGCTTGACAGAACCAATGTCTAGCTACTGCATGTCATTTTATAGGGAGGCTCATTCTACTCTTTTATCCTGGATTAGGATTGTCATAGATAGGCAGATGTTTTCACAAGAATGATGGACTGGTAGACACATTGCTGGAACAACTTGACCTACGGCATCCTACTTGTAAAGATGGCCCAGTTTTGAGAATTCTCTTCTTTGATCTTTAGAATGTCAGGGAAGGGTATATACCCCCTTGAAATTTTTCCACAAAGTAATGTGCAGTATGCAGTGACTTGTACCTCCATTCGCTAAAGATGCTTGTAATAACTTCTTAGGACCGACAATCTAAATCAGTGATATCCAATCCTGTCATCTTGCTGCTGCATTTTGAAGCAGATTCTGGGTAATTGTGGCCCACGTTTTATGGAAAGGACTAAATGACAACATTTTAAAAGGAGTTAACTTAGAGGGTTATTCACTAAAGAGCTGAAGGATCCAGCCGTAGGTTCAGCTAATCCTTCGGCTCACTTTGGACGCTGGAGCCGTTGGTTCAGAACCGAAGAGCTGCTGTACAGGCTATTCACAATAGCCCGTACAGCAGCCGAGTGGTTCAGCCGAGCCGAACGCATATGCTTCGGCTTGGCTGAGCCTTAGTAACAGCCAGAACGGGGATAACGATCTGCAAGGCAGACCGTTTCCCCCACAACTGACAACAACTGGCTCCACCCAGTTGTTATCATTTAATGACAGCCCAGTGTCCTCAAATAACCTGAGGATGCTGCTCTGTCACTGAAGGACAACAACTGGGCGGAGCCAGCCATGACATCACGGCTGGTTCCACCAAGTTGTTGTCATTCAATGACAGCACAGCGTCCTCGAGGACACTGGGCTGTCATTACATGACAACAACTGGTGCGGAGCTGGCCGTGTTGTCATGGCTGGCTCCGCCCAGTTGTTGTCCTTGAAATACAGATCAGCGTCCTCAGGTTATTTGCGGACACTGGGCTGTCAATAAATTACAACAACTGGGCAGAGCCGGCCGTGACGTTGCAGCCGGCTCCGCCCAGTTGTTTTCCTTTGTCCAGGACCTGCAAGAAGTAAACAGTTGGGTGGAACTAGCGGTGATGTTACCGCTAGCTCTGCCCCATTGTTAGTATTTTGCCAGCATCTGTCAGATTCTTCATTCTGCAGCAGGAGTTCGTCACGTGCGGTCGGATCGGCAGGCATCAGGGTTTTTTTATTTCTCTGGGTCGTCGTCGTGGAAAACGCTGGATTACGTCGTTGTATCAATTTTTGGGATTTTTTTTTAAAAGTCTGGTCTTTTTATTTCTATTTTATTTAACCCTTTAGTGAATGGGTAGAGGTACCAGTACCCCTTATTCATTCACAAAGGAGGGGGCGCATCTGGGTGCCCTTTTTTTAAAGGGGTAACCCGACGCAAATAAGCCCCCCTGTCCGCTGACTCCCACAACCAACACTCCTGGGCTTGTGGGGACGAGGACCTTGTCCTCATCGGTACGGGGACAAGGTGCTTTTTCAGGGGGGACCCTCGAAAAGCACTCTCCCAGTGCCATCGGCGAATGCACTCATTGCCGTTCGGTCACTATGAGAATAGGGGCGAACAACAGCAAGTGAACTGCTGGAGTTGCGGCTCAGCTGATCCAGATGTTGGATCGGCTGACCGAAGCCAGCTGAAGGCAGACGATCTATGGCTCATTTTAACCGATGTACGGCTGGAATCAGATAGAGATGTACGGCTGGAATCAGAGATAAAATTAGGGTTAAGATCGTGGAGGTTATGTATCAGGCTACAATTTACATCTATGCATTACAGTGTGCTGTGATTTTAGGAAATGTCAAATCATCACAAGCGGCATGTGAATCAGCAGCATTGCTTGTACCGTTTGGCCTGTTTATATCCACTCTTAGTTAAATCCTGCATTGCCTAGCAGTAAGATATGTGTGAACACTAATTATGGATCTCAAAATACTAGGGCTGTTCAGATACTAAGTACCATACTCGGTACAGATACAAGTACACGCACAGATACTTTTTCAGCTCCAAGACTAGACGTCCTCCCGTGACCCAAAGCTCAGTATATACTGAGAGCCCCGCAGCCGGGACAGATCCTGACAATACTGTTGAGATCCACTCAGCTATCTGATTGACAGAGCCAGCTGTATCCGCCCCCTTCCCGTCCGTTCCTCCAGTCAGCGCTGGAGGATTGGAAAGGGGAGGGGGGAATCCCTGCAGGGAGCGGTGACTGACAGTCACCGCTCTCTGCGGGGAAGTGATCAGGAAGTGAGCGAGTGACGGTATGTGTTCGCTCACTTACCGATCAATAGAGCCGACGTGTGACAGGTTCAATGAAAATCACTCACCTCATAGTTCTCCTTTAAGTATTTTCTTTCACAAAACATAACTTACATTTTCCAAACAAAATTTACAACAATGGAGACAGGTAAAGAACACAGTGAGAAGAAATCACCTTGTGGCAACATATAAACAAAAGGAGCAATCCCGCAAAGAGCATCCAAATTGGAAGGCAAGCGTTAGCTGCTCCCGCTCCAGTTCATTATTTCCCTTCCAAAAACATGGAAATATAAGCCAATACTGCAAAAATAAAGCAAGAAAAAAACATGTAGGGGTACTGCTTACACAGTCGAAAGGGATTATATGAACTGGACTCCCAAAAAAGTGCTGGGAGATAATGTGAATGAAAGATAAAGGCCCTTCCGCAATCACAAGTGAGGGTTAAGCTGGCCATGCACTCTATGAATTTTGGGCAGTCCTTGAAAAAAATTGGCCACCCTTCCATCCAGCTTGCTTTGATCAGAAAATCAAAAGAAGTCAGATGGAAATTTTTCAGGCGAACAGTGATGGCAGCTGATTGCTCAGGTATTTGGGTATTCAGGTATTGTGACACACACACGGCTGCCAGGATACAACAGCCCAGTGGGAGATTCGTCCTCCCACAATGTTTAACGTGGATGGAGGTATCTGATCAATTTTTTTTATCATACAGCCATGCAAGCTGAACAAAAAATAAATAAAAAACGAAGTGTATGGCCAGCTTTACTAAAAAAGACAATAGATAAGGCTACAGAAGAGAAAAAAAAGGAAGAGAAAAATATTCAGGAAGAACAAAGGGATAATAAAGGGACTTTGCCTAGAGGTTACAAACTCCACACACTGTACATCTATATCTATAGATTCAGGAGCCTAGGATTCACAGATATGTTTGATGGTGACTCACCCAAGGAGACCATATCTTAAGAAGCATTTTATATTCTAGGATATTACTGAGTAATAGCATACATTTTGCAATATATAATAAGCATATACTGTCCTCATAAAGATAGCTAAC